GGTTTTTACTGGCGCCTTGCGCGCACTGGTAAATAGCGCAGATAGCGGGAAATACGAACGAAAGATAGGCCAATCAAGTCTAGTGTAAACAATGTCAGACCTTTTAAATTCCTTAGAAATGTACAAGTATAAACAAAAGATCACAATATCAACTGATGATCATTGTTTAAAATACCTGAGGGAAACGTGTGTTCCAGCAAATAATATTATCTACACTATGAACATTCCAAACGAGCACCTCACAAGGCACTAATGAACTCAAGGATCAGGGCGTGCTATCCCAATACTCGTTTGTCGATGTTTTGAACGTTTCGATTTTAGCCCAGTATTGTATTAAGATAAAGGATCGTTGCATAAGAGTAGAAAATTTGATCTTCAAACCTCAAGGGAACTTGTAGAAAGCTCTATTTTGGTGGGAAAACCCGCTGACTCGTCCCGGGCTCAAATGTCCGGAATTTCTGGCCATGTGAGAGATTTGGATTAACAAAAGCAACTAAGCGAGAAACAAAACGAACATAATCTTTCCCATWCCTAGTGCATTTCCGATCTCGTAACTTTCAATCTGCGGTGAAGAAGTTCGTCGACGTAGGCCGAAAGTTACGCGGGCCACATCGGCAACAAGATATAGTCGACCGATATGAATAATACATATTAACCAGTAAATGAATGTCAATGRACGATAGAATTACTTAGCGGGCTTGTTCTCTAGAACCGTGATTTGTTTACCTCGAAATTGTAATACCAAAAACAATCACAGTAAAGTGACGACGTCAATAAAATCAGGCTAAAAAATTCTAAACATTTTAACTTATCAAGATGTCTAATATTCTAACTTGAAGCATTTTGAGATTTTATCGAAATGAAAGTTTCCCATTTGCATCTGAGAAGCTTTGCGATCGTTTAGTTGAGGACCGGTCACCTCGCAAACGTGTCACTTCGCAAACTTCCAATCCGCAAACGYCTCGAGGCAGCTCCAGCACCAATCCTCTCCGAAAGGAGAAAAAGAAAAAAGAGCGAGATTATTACTGTTTTACGCATGTGACAAAATTGCGCAAAGGTAAATGTAAATTAACCCATGAATTTAAATTAATTCCTCTACCAGTTATGCAATAAGATGAACATACTCGCAAAAATATACATTATCAGCTTGGGCTTCCTTTGGAGGCCTGGACACATGTTAAARTTTGGCGCGAAAGCACAGTCACTATTCAGCGAGCAAATCGGCAAGGCATCTGAGAGCTACTTTAAGCGTTTTCTCTGCTGCAGCGCATCCATATCCTCATAAATCATACTTCATTTAGTCAACTTAGCAAATAAAACTTCTTATCAAGGAAAAAATGGTGGTTTCTGAGCCTGAGGCAAAGACGAATCTTCCGTGGTATGTATTTTCAAGATGGCTGACACGAGAGATCGAACTCAAGTTAATATGTTTATTTTTTATCGTACTCAGGGTAGAAAAATATAGGCCTAAATRTCTAGATGACTTGATATCGCACAAAGAAATCATTACTACAAGTAAGTGGGTTCTTCGTGTCATTTAAGTGTTATATCTTAACACATTCTTCAAAAAAGATGTACAAAATGTACAAAGCTTGTTCAGATTGGAATAGCTAGAATAATGAAACAGGTGCTTGCTAAATGAAACAATCATGCATGCAAAATATGGTTAATTGATTGTTTACCCAAAGCAATGAGTAAACAATCCATACCTTGAATAAAGAAAATTAACCAAATAACGTTGCTGTTCAAGTCCAGAGATTCATATCAGAGGATCGTCTTCCTCATCTTTTGCTGTATGGACCTCCTGGAACTGGAAAGACATCAACTATACTTGCTGTTGCCAARCAACTATACCCTGATAAGTCATTTGGTTCTATGGTATTAGAGGTAAATTACACTTTGATTTATTATATTAGCATCATAAATTTCTTACAATAACAATGATCTAACTAAAAATAGGGTGGAACAAAACTGGTACAAAATAGAAATAAATAATGCTTGTAAATATTAATAAAACAAATGTTATGGTAAAAAACTAACATGAATAGAAAATAATAAAAAAAGAAAGAATTTTTTAGCCTTGCTCAAGTTGAGGATCGAACCTGGGAACTTGGCATTCATGGTCCCTTGGGATTGCTAAACTGTGACGTGGAGAAAAAATAAAAATAAAGTCRCTGCATTTTATAACCATGACGCAGGCCTTCAGCCTGCACACAGTAATGATACTATTTAGTAGCGATTAGTTTATATCAAAGATTAGAGAGAAGTCATTAAACCTGTGAAACAAAACTTGACTATCAAAGTGTGATAGTCAACTAGACATTAAAGAAAACAAATAATGCACTCAAAGCATACCAAAGTGTATTAGTGTCATATCTATTTYACAGGTTTTGAACTTCACTCTAGTACATTCACTCTATTACACTATATATACATTCTTTCGATCTATACAGCCTTTTGCACAAATTATGAGACATTTTTATATATATAAATATACCTAACCAAATATCAAAAACACCCCAGAAATTATGGTATATCTCTATTATATTTTGTCATGATTGCCTAGCATCAGGTTGTTACAGACAAAATATCAGCGACGGTATCCCATAATTTCTTGGGTGTTTTTGATATTTGGTTAGGTATATTTATATATATAAAAATGTCTCATAATTTGTGCAAAAGGCTGTATAATGATTTATAAAATATATTATAAAATATATAATAAATATGTTTTACCTATTTGTTTCTAACCCTTATTCAATGTCTTATGTACAATTTGGAATTCAGATTTCTGAAAATGTTCTTGTTATATAAATGATGACTTTTATGATTGTAGTTAAATGCATCTGATGATAGAGGAATAGGAATTGTTAGAGGAGCCATTCTCAATTTTGCCAGCACAAGAACAATATTTAAGTAAGTTTATTTTGAAGGTTTCTCAATAAATTCATGTACTGCAGACGTTGGATCTGCTGTAACCAAAAACCAAAGAAGGGATGTTCAAGCCAATGTATTCCCTGGACAACAAGGTTCTATATTTTCTTATTTTCATTCCCATTTCATTTCCTCTTCAGATCTGGTTTTAAACTGGTCATTCTTGATGAAGCAGATGCAATGACAGATGACGCTCAGAATGCTCTTAGACGAGGTGAATTGAAAGTCAATGGTTGTACATTGAAGCCACTCTTGTAAAATAAGATAGAACAAACCCCTTGTAAAAGCTTTATTCTTTGTAATGCAGTTATGGAGAAGTTCACAGAAAACACACGGTTTTGTTTGATATGCAACTATTTGACAAAAATCATCCCAGCTCTGCAGTCTAGATGTACAAGGTTTAGATTTGGACCACTAACAGCAGATCAGATGATGTCTAGAGTAGAACATGTCATTGATTCTGAGCAGTAAGTACATCAGTGTAAAACCTGTTTTTTAACTCCTGGCCACAATAAATTGTTACTCAATCAATTATAACTTTGGAAACTAAGGTAAATATTTACACAAGAATTACTTWTTTTCTTGGTAGAGTAACAGTGACAGATGATGGCAGGCAAAGTCTTTTACGGTTAGCAAAAGGTGATATGAGAAGAGCTTTGAATATATTACAGGTAAGATACATGTCTATACCTTGTTTGGACCAATAGGTGATGTTAGTACGCTTTGATTGGAGTAAAGAAGCCTGAAAAGTCGGTAACGTAATTATGAGATAGTGTTAAAGACCTACTGGGCCATGAAGTCACTTTGAAAAACCCAAGATACACTATGTAGCTGTCTAAAATAATGTCAGGATGTAAATACAAGGCTTGCTAACTAAAGCATCATCTTGGGCTGTTTTACTCAGATTTCTGTAAATTATTTAATCACCATTTGTGTTTTGGCTCCTGTCAATCAACACTCATAACTTTACCAAGACTAAGCTTAGACTAAGCAGACTCAAAACAATTGACAGAAATCTGGACTTTCTCTTCATTGGCTTTGAAGGAGGACAGACACAAAGGCAGTTTGGGGTTTCGACTGACATACTAAATTTGTCCATTGGAGTTACCAACATAGTATGAAAACTGCAGTAATGTAATTATGTTTACTCAGAGCACATCTTTGGCATTTGATGAAGTGAATGAAACCAATGTCTATCTCTGYACTGGACAACCATTGAGATCAGACATATCAAGGATTGTAGAGTTGATGTTAAATGAAGACTTCAGTACGGCATATAATGGTAATGTATGTTTGAACTGTAAATAGCGCTAGACATTTAAGCATGGGCTTCGAATCAGTAAAAACATGCAGCCATTTAGATCCTTTGCAAGTGACATCAAAGCAGCTCCATCTGGACAAAACAAAAGGTTTTTGCCCTCTTGAGAACTAAAATCCATTGTTTTCCTCCAGTTAGAGCTGCATTCCCATGAACTGCAAGGGGTCTATACACCGCACATATATAAGAATGATACATTATCAACATTGTGTCATTTTATGGTCAGTGTGTTTTCTTTTTCTTATTCATGGAGATGTTCCCTATGGATGTAGTAAAGCTATGACCACTGATTACTATGTAAMCATAGTGAAATAGAGTGGTTTTCATTAACCCGTGAAACACACTTTAGCGTATTTATCGCTAAATTACACTTTGGCTCTTTTGTTTTTTATTGTCTCTACGTGACTATTCCAATCTATTACACTCTAATTATTACACTTTGTTTCACTGGTTTATGAAAACCACTCTAGTGCTATATATTGCTCATGTATTTTAGTTTCATTTTACATAAACAAGGTAATGTCCATTATGTACAATTGTCATTCTGTAATTCCAGAAATAATGAGACTTAAGACATTAAAAGGACTTGCATTACAAGACATTCTCACTGACGTCCATGTGTATGTACACAGAGGTAATGCTTTTAT